ACTCACACATTTTTCAGGGGCCAGTTGTGCAAGAAATGTCAGTATTTTCCGATACTTTTTTTGGCCTCTCCCAACTGTTGTTCTCTTTTGACTTCTGCAAGGAGAAATCCTTATTCCTGCCTCATTTCTTCACCCCTGCCCTCACCCCTGTTGGGCCTCCTTCTGCCCTTCTTTCCCAGGAACCCCTGAAAAGGAGAAAAAAACACGGAAAGGAAGAACCCTGTCTTCCCTGGATAGGACTGTCTGTTTGCTTTTGCTTAGGGCTGCTTGTAGCTGCGGTGAGTTCTATGGGTTCTTATTGTTCTGCCTTCCTCTTTCTCACGTCCACGGCCTCCTGGCCACCACGTGTCCTCCACTTCCCATGCACTCTGGGGCTCTGAGTGCTGGGGACCTGGGGCCTCGGAGACACGTCCCTCCGGCTTCCTCTCCCCTCTGGATGCTTCACCAGCGGCCAGTCAAGTGGCAGCCCCCGCCACTGTCCGTGCCAGGGGCCGGTGATGAAGTAGCCAGGTCTTGAGCCGACTCCATCCTGGTTTGTCATAGCTCCGCTGCGAGTTATTTTGGTCTTCGTGACTTGTGGCTGCACCATGATTTCAGTTTGATATCTATCACCAAAGTGACTAAAAGATGAAAATAGAAGTCACAACAGGAAATAAACAACTGCAAATGAGCTATTTTATTCCATATTCTCTGCCAGCAAGCGATTAGAATCAAACTCATTCACAATAGTTTGGTGAACTTCTAAACTTTTTTTTTTTTTTCTTCCCCTTTTACACGATGAGAATAGTTTGAAGCAGGGTGCTTGTTGGTCTTATTTAGGCCCGTGGAAAGGAAAGGAACTCCCTTTCCAGCCAGGAGTTCTCTGCGCCCCAGCTTCTTTCTTGGAAAGGAAAAGACTAAGAATGTGCTGGGGTGGGGCTCGCTCTCAGGAAGCCTCGGGATGTTAACCGATTCAGGGAATGCCAGGGCGCTCATAAAGCAGCGCCAGTGTTGTAGCTACATGCCCGGCATCCCACCCATCATCTACTCAGGGCAGTAAAATGGAGGAGGAAAGCCGCGTGGAGAGGGAAGAGAGGGGTGACGCCTGAATTAAAACACCCGCAATTACACTATATGGGAACATATCTCTGCAAGTGCATGCATGTTCCACCCAGACAAGCTGTGACGTCAGATGCAACTCCCGAAACACCCACTACCCCTCCCTGCCCTGTGTGTGCTGGGCCTCTCCTTACAGCGCCCGAGCACCATCGGCCAGGCTTCCGAACGTTCAGGTTCTCCGCCGTCCGAGGCTTGCTTTGAGGGCTGACATTTGCTTTTCTGTTTAAGTCCTTTCGGTCACGTCGAGGGCCTTGCCTTGCCTCTCTTGGAAAGCGAAGATCTTCTAGGGAGGCCCAGAGCAGAGAGAGGAACGGGACCCCGAGAGCAGGAAGCTTGCCCAGAAAGCTTTTAAAACCCTGCCAACTGCTCTCCTGATGTGAGGATCACCACCAGTGCGCGTTATTTAACCAGTGAAGGGCAGGGCCCCGGCCAGGAATCAGGCTTTCTGACTTCTAATCTGGTATTTTTCCCCTCAGCTTTTCTAAGGTTATACATTTCCCAGACACCTCAAAATTCTCACCATGTCTCTTCCGTCTTTCCCTGCCTATGCCGATGGGATTACCCACCTCCATACCCTGCCCTCATCATTTTTCTCCTGGGCTTTCCAGGCTGCTACCTTGGCAGGTTGCTTCTTTAGAACATTTCACACACACTCACACACACACACAAACAATGTCTTTTCAATAAGCAACATTTTTTATTACAAAATGATGAATTTACACAATTGCAGTTCTACTGGCCTCACACAGTAACGTATAGAACGCCAGCTTCTTTGCCATGCTACAATGTTTCTACGCTTGTCTTATCTGAGTACTGGAGACCCCCTTGCTTGGAGATGATTATGTAATCAATGTTCCTGATTTTCTCTCCTATTTTTTAATCTCCAAAGATGCTTTTGGAGGTTGGGGTTTTAGGTCCAAATGCCCCTCTAAGTCCTAACCACTATGTTGATTCCTATTCTTTTATTGAGCATCTATTGCATGTCAGACATCTGTAGATTGCTGGAGGAGAGTGGGTCTGAGCTATAACGCTAAGAGTCGTTTTGTGCTTTCTCCTTTTAAGAATGTATAGTCGAAGCCGGTTTGGCTCAGTGGAAGAGCGTCGGCCTGTGGACTGAAGGGTCCCGGGTTCGATTCCGGTCAAGGGCATGTACATTGGTTTCGGGCACATCCCCAGTGGGGGGTGTGCAGGAGGCAGCTGGTCGATGTTTCTCTCTCATCGATGTTTCTCTCTATCCCTCTCATTTCCTCTCTGTGTAAAATCAACAAAATATATTTAAAAAAAAAAAAGAATGTATAATTTAGCTGGGAAAATGAGAATAGTACATCTCACCTTTCCCACAGATCCCTTAAACTCCCCAACGATTTTCATTGTCCTCCGGGCCTCACAATTCTAAATGACATAACAACAACAACAACAAAAATCACATTTCATGAAATAAGAGAAGTTAGATCACCATGCCAACTAGTGGCCTCGTTAATACTGATGCCTATATATTTAAATCAGTACGTTTCTCAGTACCATTTGCTTTCACAAACTAAACGCTTCTGGTCCTTTGCCCTTACCAATGCTTTACCCATTTCCATGCGGTAATCTGTCAGTGGGTCTAGGCTTCCCCCAAACCTGGGGTCAGAGGATAAACTCTCTGACCCACCAGGGCCCAAGAAGGTGCCCAAACAGCCCCGCATGCATATGCATGTCCTGGGCAGGTCTGCTCGGAAGGTAACCTTCCGCGCCGGGGGGCGGGGTGACCGAGGTCTTCCGGGCTCCAGAGGAAACCTGCGGGCCGCGGGCGGGCGTGCGAGCCCCTCCCGCTCCCCTTCTCTCGCCTGGATGCTGCCCCTCGCAGCTCGTCAGCCAGCCAAATGCATTCCAGAGCTGTGCACAAGACACACTTCTCCAGGCGGTCCTAGAAACCCGAGCTCGGCGCGGGAGAGGGCGGGCGGGAGGGAGCGCGCGCCCGCCGCTGAGGTCACATTCGCGCCGCCTCCCCGCCCTCGGCGGCCCGGCTGTTCCCTCCAGCGCACACCTCCCGGGGCCTCGGTCCAGGCCGGTGTAAGCGTCTCTTACAGCGAGACAGCGCTCTCCTCCCCCACCCCTCCCGCGCGGCCAGGGGATCCGCCGCCAGGGCCTTTAAAACAAAACGAATGAATGAAGCGCCAGGGCCGGCGCGCGGGACAGCCACCGCGGAAGCGCCACGGGGCTGGGTCTCCATCGGGCCGCCGATCGCCTCGTTCGGCTCCAAAACTCGTCCGCGAAGCCCGCTGGGCGCCCCCGGGGCTTCCCGTTTCCCCTCGGATCCCGCCGCCAGAGCTCAGTCGACTCGGGGAGCTCCTTTGCTCCCCACCTTTATTCGCACCCCCCACCAAGGTTCCCCTCTCTGCAAACCCCGGAGGGGGTGGCGGCGGCGGGGAGGGGTGGGGGGCGGGGGGAAGAAATAGCTTTCAGAAACCCGATCTGTTGTTTGCGAAACACAATCGCCTTTTTTTTTTTTTTTTTTTTAAAGCGACAGGGTGTCTAGACGGCCACGTGACGAGGCCGGAGCCGGGCGCGCCACTGCGCAGTGGAACCAGCAGAGCAGAGGGCCCGCGGGGGGTGGGGGGGAGGGAGGCGGCGGCGGCGGCTGGGGGCGGGGGCGGGAAGGGGGAGGAAGGAGGAGGGAAGGGGGCGGGGGCGGGAGGCCTTGCGGGAGGCGACGAGCCTGGGGCACACTCACTCGCTTGCACGGCGCGAGGAGGATCCTGTCCCCGAAGCCGCGCCAGCCGAGCCAGCCGGGCGCCTCGCTCGGTCCGCTCGCCGCGCGGAGAGAGCTGCTCCAGACAGAGCCAGCCCGCCCGCCGGCGCCGAGCTGCCGAGAGCCCGGCCCCAGAGCCCCTGAGCGCGGCGCGGCGCGGCGAGCCCCCGCGGCGGCACAAGGACCCCAGCGCCAGGAGAGGGCGGACGGGGGACAAGGAGGCTCCCGGCGCGACGAGGAGAGACTCTCCGAGGAGGAGGCGGCGTGAGGACACCGCCGGGGCCTCCTGCCGCCGCAGCCGGGTGGAGGCGAGCAGCCCATACCGAGAGCTCGGCGGCCGGCCGCGGCCAGGGGAGGGGGCGCCGGCGGCCCCCGCACTAGCCGGCAGCTTGCGCTCCGGAGGGCGAGAGCGCGCGACCCGCCGGGGGCCAGCCGCCGCCGCCGCGCCGCCCTCCCCCGCGCTGTCAGCCCCGCCGGGCGCCGCCGCCGCAGCATCTTCTGCCTCTGCGCCCCCGCCGGCCCCGAGGAAGTCCCCGCCGAGGACCGGAGCTCCTGGGAGCGAAGGAGGAGAGACCAGAGACTCCCCTAAAACACCCAGACGCGGAGGATTGGAGGAGCCTCGCCAAAGCCTTCTGTGGATTAAAAAAGATACGCGATTAAAAAAAAATTTTTTTTTCTGCCAGAAGAAAAGGAGAGGAAGACCAGCGGGGATCTGCAAGGAAAAAGGGGAGCTGTAACTCGTGGATACATTTTTTCCACCCTTCAAACGTCTTGTTCTACTTTGTAAACATTTTTTTTTTTTCTTCTAAACCCCAGCTCAAGTCTGACGGCTCCAGATCTCCAGGGTGCGAGGAGGTGGTGGTGTTTTTCATTTTGGGCTTTTTGCATATTTGGTTCTTAGATTTTGAGCCTTTATTTCGCCAGACATCTCATGCGGGGTGAAGTCCACTCGGCCCCCTCCTCCGAGTCTTCGTGTGCACGGAATTCGAGGAGATCCGGTTACTAAGGATATAGAGGGGAAAAAATAAATCGCGTGCCTGCTTTTTTTTTTTTTTTAATTGCCTGCTTCTCCCCACCCCCAAATTAAGTTGCTTAGCAAAGGGGAAAGAGGCTTTTACCTCCCTCCTGCAGCTCCGCCGAACGCCTTCCGTTTTTCTTTCTTATTTTATTATTTTTTTTTTTGCCCCCGCGGATCTTCCATGTAGGAAGCCGAGGCTGGCGAGCCCGATCGTCGGGAGCCGCTGCGGGGGGGCCTCTTTCTGGGGAGGCGCCGACCCCGGCAGGCTTCGCCGGCCCCAGGGAAGCGGCGGCCGCGTTCCTCCGGGGCGCGCCGGGGCCCGAGAGCAGCGCTCGGCGCGGGCCGCGCGGGGTGGGGCAGCCGGAGCGCAGGCCCCCGAGCCCCGGCGGGCGCCCCCGGGCCCCCGCGCGCGCCCCGGCCTCCGGGAGACTGGCGCATGCCACGGAGCGCCCCTCGGGCCGCCGCCGCTCCTGCCCGGGCCCCTGCTGCTGCTGCTGCCGCCTGCGCCTGCTGCCCCAACTCGGCGCCCGACTTCTTCATGGTGTGCGGAGGTCATGTTCGCTCCTTAGCCGGCAAACGACTTTCCTCCTCGCCTCCTCGCCCCGCATGTTCAGGACCAAACGATCTGCGCTCGTCCGGCGTCTCTGGAGGAGCCGTGCGCCCGGCGGCGAGGACGAGGAGGAGGGCGCGGGGGGAGGTGGAGGAGGAGGAGGCGGCGAGCTGCGGGGAGAAGGGACGACGGACGGACGGGCACATGGGGCCGGTGGCGGCGGCGCGGGCAGGGCTGGCTGCTGCCTGGGCAAGGCGGTCCGAGGTGCCAAAGGTCACCATCCCCACCCCCCAGCCGCGGGCCCCGGCGCGGCCGGGTGCGCCGAGGCGGATCTGAAGGCGCTCACCCACTCGGTGCTCAAGAAACTGAAGGAGCGGCAGCTGGAGCTGCTGCTCCAGGCCGTGGAGTCCCGCGGCGGGACGCGCACCGCGTGCCTCCTGCTGCCCGGCCGCCTGGACTGCAGGCCGGGCCCGGGGGCGCCCGCCGGCTCGCAGCCCGCCCAGCAGCCGCCCTCGTCCTACTCGCTCCCCCTCCTGCTGTGCAAAGTGTTCAGGTGGCCGGATCTCAGGCATTCCTCGGAAGTCAAGAGGCTGTGTTGCTGTGAATCTTACGGGAAGATCAACCCCGAGCTGGTGTGCTGCAACCCCCATCACCTTAGTCGACTCTGCGAACTCGGTAAGAAGTTGTGGGGCGCCCACCCGCTCCCCCTGGCGCTGCAGGGATGATGCAGGGAGAGCCCCCGTGGGCTGTGTGCGGGGGGCCGCCGCTCCGTTGGGAGGGGAGTGCCCAGCCCTTCCGGGTAGAGGAGACTTTTGGGGACGAGTGAGGGACAGGGGAACGGGAGGGCGTTCCCGGGGGTTCCCTTACAGATGTTTCTCCCCCGTGCTGTGCCCATGGCGGCAGGGGCACTGCCGGTGCACACGCTGCAGAAGGCGGTGAGACATTAGACGTCCTCACTTCCGGATCAGCTAAGGGGTGCAGAGAGAAGTAGGGGTCACGCCTCCCCCGCACCCGGAAAGGCGTTGAGGTGTGTGGCCGAGTTGGATTTGGTCCAAGCCCGCCAAGGAAGGCTGGGAGGGAGAAGCGAGCTGTAAAGGCTGGGGAGTAGTCTCTGCTCCTGGAGTCCATACATAAGGGGAGCCCCACTGGGGCTCAGGGGCCCGCACACTGCCTGCCCTGGCCGCGCAGCTTGAGGGGTTTGGGGGCAAGGAGGGTTAGGATGGGAGGCCGAACCCTCACCACTCGATCTTCCTCCACTCGGCCAGCCCAGGGTTGTAGAGAACGAGCAGTCGGAAGTTGGTTGCTCCCTGCTTTTCTCCCCCCCCCCCCCAAAGCACAGCCTTCCGGGTAGGGGTGGTCTGCCGGCTCCCCCGGACCTGGACGGAGACCCCCGCCGCCGCCTCTTTATCCGCTCGGCCTCCTCCACTGCTTCCCTTTTTTCTGGGTCTGGGTGCAGGGTGGGGGAAGGGTGCCCCCCCTCCCGTGCCAGCAGGGTAGGGGAAGGGTCCCCCCTGCCAACAGACCCTCCTAAGTTCACCAGCACTTGGGGTGTCTCTGGGGTGGGCTGGGAAAGGGGAGCGGCGGGGGTGGGCCGGGCGGCGGGAGTTGGGTCTGAAGTTCGGGGACTGGGGGGGGCGCTCTGTCGCCCCCCGCCCTGGGAGCCGAAGCGCGGCCCACGGAGCCGCGGCGGGCCGGGTGGTTTCCAGCGGGGCCGGGGAGCGCCGCGGCGGCGTCCGCAGACGCGGAGGAGCGGAGCCCGCGGCTGGCGCCAGGCGGCCTCTTTTGTTTATCTGACAGCTAAATATCAAGGCAATCACCGCCTCGCGGCCCTGCCTCCAACCCCCACAGCTAAGACAAACAGTTGGGCTAAAAGAATGCCTCTGTTATCATAAGTTTTTATCTCTGGTTCTCATGGCCCGGCATTTATTTTCTCTTACTTTCTTAATTCCAGAGTCTCCTCCTCCTCCTTACTCCAGATACCCGATGGATTTTCTCAAACCAACTGGTGAGTAAGATGATTTTAAAAATATCCTCCCTCTCTGAAGTGAGGCACACAAGCCTCTCGAATGCGGGTTTTTCTGCCCTGGCAGTGGCCTGGGGAGGTGCTGGGGCTGCCTGGAGGTGGTTATACGTTGTTTCCTGTGTTGGAAGTTTGGATTTTTGTTTTTGTTGTGGCTGGAGATTCTATGTATGTATATGTATGTTACACACATATGTATATATTGTATTATATATTATGTATATAATGTATATACAATATGTATGTAATATGTATATAAAATGTATAAGTTTCTAAGATGTGCTTTACAATTTGTTATATTTTTTCATGTATATTGGCACCGAAATTGGCTCAAGTGTAACACGTGGAATTTGATCCACGCAGAAGTGTCTTGGGAGCCAGAGAGGACAGGTTGACGGGAGAATTTGGAGGCTTTGTGAGTGCCAGTGGAGTCAGTGGGAGGCATGGGTAATTCGGAGGAAGAGAAGGCGGTTTAAAAAGGCCCAGAGAGGACTTGTTGGGAGTAAAAGGTTAGAAGATTGAAGAGGCCGAGACAAAACCACCCTCATGGGTTTCCTCTCCTCCCTCCCCGGCAAGTCAGCACTCCTCCCAGATTTTCTCCGAATTCTAGGTCGGGGCTATAAAAGTTTCTGGCATAGCTCTGCCTGCCTGTTGCTTTGTCACCGGGTGGCATGGGGCCAGGGCAAAAGCTCATTGGAGACTGGCACCAGCTCTGTTGTGATTGTCTGCATTCAACTCCTGGCTGGCAGTGCAGGGCTCACCCTATGGGGCAGACATTCCCCGGGGGAGGAGTGTCCGTCAGCAAGGCAGGGCAGTGGAGGTGTCAGCCGGTGGCCCCTGTGTCCAGGAGCCCCTTCTTCCCGATGGAGGTTCCTTGGCTGAAGGGTAGTGATTGTAACTTTGTGCCCTGTGTACTGGATGCCTGGAAAATAGAATGTTATTTTTTTTGCCAAGGTTCTGAGAGAAGTGAAGGGTTGGGCCTCATTTCACTCTTTGAGTTCTGCAAGCCCTTGGCCTCCTGAGCTTTGCCTGTTGGGCTTTCCCCCCACTAATTAAAAGTTTTGCTGGGGCGTTGTCATAAATTAAATACTTTAATGAACGGTGTAACCGAAGCCCGCAGCCCTCCCGGGACTCCACGCTGCTCCCTCAAGTCCGGAAGGCGTTGCTGCTTGCCGGGTGCCTGCCTAATAAGTGGCCTGCAAAGCATGTGATATTTTGCTTTCGATTTACAAAACACCAGATAAATGGTCATTAATGAGGAGATAACCAGCTCTCTGCATTTGTAGCAAACGGTAACTGAAATTATCAAGCCCTGTTTTCTCAAAGAATAACTTTGATGGACTTTTTTGGCTTCAAGAATTCTTTCCTGAGGTCAATGCTCCAAAGGCCACTTCTGTCAGTTTTTGTTTTTTTCTTTCATAGTCTTCAAATCTGGAGGTTTCCCCCAAAAGAGAGACAGACCAATCACCTTGACACCCCCTCTCCCCCCGGGGTAAAGGCAACTAAGGGTAAAATGTCCCCAGAAACCTACAGCCCTAGAAGAAAGGGGTTGCATTTTCCGGCGTTTCCTGCAGAGATACCGGAATAAGCCCGCTCACCGGATTTAAGCAGCCGTCCTGCCAGGCCAGGACGGTTTCAGTGAGCAGAGTGATATATTTATTCATTAGCAAGTGTTGACATTAGGTAGCAAAATGTGTGTAAACAGAGAAGCCACAAAGACAGGAATGTGCCATTTCCAAGGGGGAGAGAAGTTCTGCAGATCAGCCAATAGGAAGTGATTAACCTGCCAATCGGAAACGCAAACAGCTGGTTACTCACCCAAAACGCTTTGTTTAAAATAAAACCAAAAGAAAAAGAAAAAGAAATGAAGGAAAGGAGGTGATGTTTGAGGACATGGAGGGTGGTGACGGGAAAGCCCCCAGGGAACCCATGGGAGGGGCTGGGGCTGGTTTTGCTGGCTACCAGGGCCAGGGCTGCTGAGGTCAGATCCCCAGATGGGAGGCTGCCCCAGGTTTTCCTCCTCACCCTCTACGCGGGAGAAGAATATTTGGCTGGGAAATTTAGATATGCCACTTAACATGCATTCTTTTTTCACTTTTAAAATAGATTTCAGAGAGGAAGGGAGAGGGAGAGAGAGATAGAAACATCAGAGATGAGAGAGAATCATTGATAGGCTACCTCCTGCACACTCCACACTGGACCTGCAACCCGGGCATGTGCCCTGACGGGGAATCGAACCCTGACCTCCTGGTTTATAGGTTCACGCTCAACCACTGAGCCACACTGGCTGGGCTGCCGCTTACATTCTTAAGTTTCTAAGCTCTGGGTGGAATTTTCGATCTTGGGTTACTATTATAGGTGAGAACCAGTCCTAAGGTTTTTTACAACGGACAACTGTTAAAATCTTAACCAGTTGCACAGTTGAGGGAATTTCTTCTGTGAAGTCTCCAACTTGGGAAGTGGGAAAAGGGGACTGGGTTCCAACCTGCAGTCCTCGGACGGACTCCGGGCTAAGGGCCACGCTCCATTTCGCTGTGGTCCACCACTCCCTCTGAGGGCCTGACCTGGGTGCCAGGCGGTCCCGGGCCAGTGGCATTTTCTGGGAAGGAGCGTTAGGCTAGACATGGCCGAACCTAGGGGCCGAGTGTGCCCTGCGCAGTCAGAAGATAGGAAGACCCTCTCCTTCCCTCGTTGCGCAAGGGCGAGGGCATGGTGTTTGCAATTAGATCTCACTTCATGGAGGGGAATGCTCGGCAGGCTCTGCCCCTTGTTTGTGCCCCATGGTTTGAAGAATGGCTGAGGAGAGGGTGTTGCTGGGTGTTAGGCCCAGGTAGCTAGTGTTAGTTGGCAGATGGAGCCTCCAAAGTCTCGTTGAGAAGTTAGAGACCTGACCCGCCTTTACCTGCTAACTCATTCTACTCTGACCTTTTCCAGGCCTCTTTGTAAGTCCAGATGGTCAAAGAGTTGCCATTCATTGGCTCAGTTTTTGGTTCGTTCACTCATTCTGCAGGCCTGAGGATGCGCTGCCTAAAAACTGGATGCTTCCGATGCAGTAGATTGGCCTTCTGTGACCAGGGTTAGGGATTGGGGCAGAGCTGGGACACGTGGTGTTTAGTGGTGGTGGTGACGGCCACGGATGGGTCTTCTGTCCGGAGGACAGCATTTAGGAAACTCGGAATTAAGTTGACGAGACTATCCTGGCTCTGGAGCCATTCCCTCGGTGGGGAAGTGGGACCCCAGCTTCCTCCCCTTGCACTCCTCCAACGATCCCCAGGCTTGCACCTAGGACAGCGGTCCCCACCTGGTCGCCAGCCGGTGGTCTGTGGGCCACGTGGTCCGTGAGGTCCGAAAGGTTGGCGACCGCTGTTCTAGGACTCGCTGCTGGGAGAGGGAGGGATCTCCCACAGGCCCCACACTTGCTGGGTGCTTGGTAATAGTTAGGCTTTAGGAGTGTGTGCCAGCCTGGGCTCTGGGGAGTGGGCATCACTGGCCACAGTGGAGCCCCTGACCGCAGCTGTTCTCTGGTGGAGGGATGGAGGTGTGGCTGCCTTGACCTTACTTTAGATGCCTGGCAGTAGCTTGGGGCCAGTCGGGATGCTGAGGCCCCTTAGCCTGCCTACCTGCAGGGCACGGAGCCGGGGCTCTGGTGGCCTGGGGAGGGAGCGTTTGGGACAGATGCTGAGCTCTTGAGGATGACCCAGCGCCCCGGGTGGTCCCTTGTGCTAGTCAGTGACGCCTCAGTTTACCTGGGTGCCAGTCGAACAGGTATACTTTGCTACTTCACAGGGGTGGTAGGGAGGCCTAATTAATGTTTGTAAATCCCTCCTGAGATCAAAGACTCTGCAGAAGGGCAGAGCACCATTTCATAAAAAACGCTTGTGGTTGCCAGTGTGGAGCTGGCTTACCTTTGATCTGAGACAGGCCGACACCCTGAATGTCTCTGCTCCGAGAGGCCGGGCCCTGCCTTTGAAACACACCTTGCCCTGGGATTTAGCCAGCCAAGACCGGGTGGGGGGGGCACCCTGGGTAAGTCATCACGGTTGATGTGGGAGTGTCTTCCATTTGGGGGTAGGTAGCAGCCAACCCGTAGGACATGTAAAGACTGTCCAGGTAGATTAGAAAAGTGCAGGGGACACATCATGTAACAAGCAACTCCATTTCCTGCCCTCCCCCATTGTTTTCCATCTGATTAAGTGTATCCTGTAAAACTGTATATTCCTGTTAGGAATTGTACTTGACACTGATCCACAGCCTGTCTCTTCCCTGCCTCCCGCCTCTCCTCCTCTCCCCGTCCCCGGGTTAAAGAGAGTTCTTGAAAAGTTGTTTTTCCAGCCTGAGAGAATGCCGGAGAGGGATTAGAGAGAGACAGGAGGGTAGGCAGCGGAAACCCAGAGGTGCTTGGGGGTTACCTGCAGGCCCCCTACCTTGATCAGGTCATGGAAACAGCTGCGGGGCCAGTAAAAGGCTTCCGTGGGCTACTGGCCTCCAAACTGCTCTTTTGCGTGGTTTCCTGTGGACCCAGTGGTTCCAGAGGGAAACTGTGAGACACCTCCCAGTACCTCCTGCTAGGGGCCTGGGCCTGGGGCTGGGGACTGGCCTCTGCCACAACCACCCCAGAGTGGTGTTTGCTGCCAAGCCAAGGGCGCCCCTTCTCCGAGCCGGCCTTTCTCGCTGGATTTCAGTAAGACAGGGTCTGGTGTAGTTTTGTTCCCTGAGACTAATTAGTTCCGATTCGTGGGTATCATTATTTTTTTATTTTCATTGTTCTGAGGGAAGTTGGTAAGTCGATTTCTCAGCTCGGTTTTGTCGTTGCCCTCATTGACTTGCAGGGGCTGGTACCTGAGGGTTCAAAGGCGTGAAGAGACCCTTGTAGGGTAGTTAGCACAGACGGCATCTGAAGGTGAAGGATCCGGTCCAGACAGCAGAAGGGAACTCCAAGCGCTGGATGCCAGAAAGATGTTACAGGAAGCAAGGGCAGGGAGCCTCGCAGGCCCGGGGTTGCCCGGGAAGGTTTCCAGGGATGGGGTGTTTGGACTGGGCCTGGAACCAGGCAGAGAGCATTTCCCCTCTGGCTGAGGAGTCTTGCTGGGAATGGTCTGAGTCTTGATCTGGTGGTGGCTCTCCCCAGGTGTACACACGCATGAGTACGGATCATTGAGTTGGGCTTGAGAGGTGGGTTCTCTCCTGTATTTGTGGTCCCTCCGTTAGAAAGGAAAAAGAAGGCCCTTAGCCCAACACCAGTCTTGAGAAAGTCCTAAGAACCGGAAAGTTTGTCTAGAAAAAAGATGAGGGTGAGACATTGGACCGTGGGGCTGGCAGAGAGGCCCCTGGGTCCAGGCAAGGAGTTCCTGGGATCCATGGCAGGAAGACGGCTGCCAGGGGTGAGAGTCAGAACCTGGGCCTCCTTTGACCTTGGGAACTCCCTGGTTTCCTCAATGGGGGACTTGCAATGAAAGAGAAATTCCAGCCAGTCTGCCGTCCAGCCTGACTTGACTAATGATTAACTGGCCTTAGACGGGTGACAAGGTGCTGTGGTCTGTCTTATGATGGGCAGCGAGCCCTGAGCAGCCCATTCATAATCTGCCCCGTGGCTGGGAGTCAGCCCTCTGGAATGTGTGGTTTCTCTTTAATGCTGGTTAGAATGTGCTTAAAAATTAATCTTGGTGTTTTTATTTATTTGTGTACTTATTTCTTTCTCTCCCCTCTTCAAATCCACAGCAGACTGTCCAGATGCTGTGCCTTCCTCCGCTGAAACAGGGGGAACGAATTATCTGGCCCCTGGGGGGCTTTCAGGTAAGACACCTTCTCGGGTTTTCCTGGCAAATTCCAAGACCTTGAAATTACTGGAGGCGGAGGAAGGGGGGTGGCCGGCCTTCTGTCACCCCAGCTGGGCTGGGGGTCTCACTTTTCTGTGCATTAAACTGGATGTGATCTTGGTGTCGCTGGGGCCCGCTCATCATGCTGAAGTTCCTGACACCGCCAGGACACAGGGCTGCTCCTTGGATGAGGAAATGGGGTCCACCTGGGGCCCGTGTTGTGCTGTGTTTTATGGTTGTTGTTAAGCAACTCCTGCTTGGGGGAGGGGAGGCTTCCACTTGGCGACGACAGCGTGGTCATTAGTTCATAGGTTTCAGGTCTGGTTTTTGCTCTCGTCCTTTCGGCTTTGGGCGATCGAAGACAGATCCCAAGCGTAGGATGGGCGTTCAGAGTAGATGCCCTTGATTCTTCTCCAAGTCCTCATTCCCCATCCAGCTCAGGGCTGGATGCTGCAGGGACAGGGTCTGGGCACTGAGACACAGGCCCTAACACTGCTACCCAGGAGGAGGAAGGGTTTTCCTTGGAGCTGGGGGTTATGGGATTGGATGGGAGGTGTTGGGCAGCCGGAGCATGTTGTCCCTGAGACGAGAAGAGAGTGATCCACTTGGAGAAACTCGCTAGCAGTGGACCCGAAAGGCATTGATTGCTGTTCTTTCCAAAGCCATTCTGTTTCCACCCGTCGTTCCTGCCTCAGGATGCCGCCACTGGGTTTTCTAAAACTAGCTCCAGCAAGAGGAAAGGAACCCGGGGGAACCTTCCAGCGGAGTCTGGGCATTTGTCCTTCCTTGCCTTTGGGGCACTGGAGTCGGACCGTGGCAGCTCAGAGGGAAGCCGTGGACTGTCTCTGGGGGGCTGTGGTGCTTCCTCTCCAGTGAGGTGATTGACTGGTCCAGCGTCACTCAGGCCCAGGTCATCCCGGGCAGGCCCCGCCCAGCGCCTCTCCAGGAATGGAGCTTGCGAGTGTGTCTTCAGGGAGACCTTGTTTGTTTTTATTTCTATGCAGTATATACTCTGAGTGTTATCTGAGACTGAAGGGATTGTTTACTCAAAGCTCCTAATGAAAACTGAGCAGGACAAAGAGGGACCCCTAGAGGGGAGGGGGCTTAGGCGGGTGGGAGGATGGGAGTGAGCCAGAGCTTGCAAGGAGGGGAGGCCCCATGGCCATGCCAGAATGGCGCCTTACCTGCTTTTTCTAAGGCTCTGAAAGTTCCTGAGAGAAAGAAGTGGGGGGGGGGGGGGGGAGGAGGATGGGGCAGGGTCTGGGCAGATGGCAGACAACTCAGGATGCTGTTAGATGGTTTTGTTTTTTAAATCCTGCGCATGCAGGAGGCGCCCCAGCCCCTCTGAACCACATGAAGTGAGCAGGGGAAGTGGCAGCTTTGAAAGGGGCCTTGGGAAGGTCTGTCTGATTGATAACATCTTGTCTGTCTCCTCTGCTGGAGGAAGTGACGACACCTCCCTGTGCGCCCCACTAACCAGGACACCCCGTCGGGCCCCTCCTGAGAGATGGGTGGGCTTCTTGTCCCAAAAGCTTTTCCAGTTCTAGAAGGAAATGGGGGTAAAATAGTTATTAATCCTGCGGTCCCCCCACCTCCCCAATTGCAGCCAGTTAGATGAATGAGGAGCTGCTAGGAAGGCGTGCTTGCCTCTGAAAGGATCCTGTGGTTTAACAAAACTGCAGAGAGGGGAAAAAAGGGGGGCCCCAACATGAAAGAGCATTTGTTTTGAATTTTAGCCCTTGATTTACTAATTCCCAAGGCTTCAAAGTTTGAGCTCTTTCTTCTTTCCGTTCGGAGTTGGAGCAGTTTATTAATAATGAGCCGTGGGGGGAAATTGAAGAAATTGTGTTTTGGGATGGTGCCAGCGGTTTGGGGGTGTCTGGAGGGGAGGTGATGGGCACGGAGAAAGCCTAGGGTTACACCCTTAGTATCGAGAATGCCCCCCAAAAGATGATTGTACTGGCCCCGGGCCAGGGCAGAGGGTTTTGTAAATGGACACAGCCCAAGCCGCCGCCTCTTCAAGAAGTTGATCTTTCCATGGGGTGGGGGGGCCCGCAGGGCTGGGTGTGTCTGCCTTGCAGAGGATGAGGCCACTGGGGGCTGCGGTGGCTGCAGAGCCCAGGAGGGGGGCTGGGGGCAGGGGAAGGGGTTAGCAGAGGCAGGAGGGGGTGAGAACCTGCTTTGGGGGGCAAGGGGAAAGGGGGCATCAAGGTGCTAGAGGTGAAAGCGCCCACCAGGATTGCTCCCTCCCTCCCCTCCTCCGCCTTGAAATAGCCTCTCTGAGTGTCTCTTTCACAGGCCCCGTGTGCTGTTTTCCTTCCTGTCCTGCCCTGGCCGAGAGCGGCCTTAATGAATGGGGCTCAGTTTAGGGTGGGCGGCGGGTCGGCAGCGGGAGCCAGGGCTTGATGCTCTTGGCACGGGAAGAAGGGAGTGAAAAACAGCCGAATGTGAAAATGTGGGGCCTGGGCCGTGGGGGTGGGGCCGCGCCCAAAGGCATGCCCCTCCTGAAAGGCAGGGTGATTCCAAGGCGGGCCCTGCCCTTTCCTGCGAGGAAGGGGGGAGGAAGGGGAGTGGGCGGCCGGGACCCTTGGAGCCGGCCTGCTGGCTGCGGGGCGGAATTCCAGGGGACAGGCCCTGGCCTTCAGGCGGGCCTCGCCGCCAGCACACCAGCCCTGCTCGCTTCCCGGCCCGGGAAAGCAGCTGGGAAAGCGGCACATTTGTAGCAGGCCGGGCCTCGGTTCCAGGAGAGCGGGCTAGCATCTCTGACAGCCGGCGCTCCCAGACAGATGGATGGCTCCGCGCTGGGCCGGGCGGGCTGTGTGCGCAGGCGCGCAGGCGGGCGGTGCTGCCGACCCCCAGGCGGCAGGCCGGTGCTCAGACACCAGAGCAGGCCGGTGGCCGCAGGCGGGGCTGGGGCTGGCCTGGGCCCCTCTCACCGGGCGTCGATGGGCTTCTTGAGCTTGTGCACTTTGGGGGCAGGAGTCTGAGTGTGGGTAGGACGGTGCCTTTTGAAAGGCACCCGACTCTACAACCCCCAGAGCAACCCCAGAGCGGGCCCTGGCCTAGGAAGACCCCTGGGGAGGGGAGGTCTGACCCTGACAGGAGCTTCTCCCATCGGCTTGCTGTTGGCTCCCGGAGCTTTCCTTGTGTCCCTGGCGGTTAAACGCATGTGCTAGACGCCGCCATCTCTGCAGCTCCCATCTGCAGTTTCAGGGAGGGGGCTGTTCCTGAGCGCGCTTGCTGTCCTGGTGAGCGGGAGGGCGAAAGAAACACCCTCTCTCTTGGAAGTTCCAGGTGGTTCACCCATCCTCCAGCCTCCTTCTCCTTTATCTACTCAAGCTCCTGGCGCTGGCGGGGCCTCACCCGTGCAGACCTCCCCGGGGCGGGCAGGGCGTGGTGGAGGCCAGCCACCGCTTGTACTTGTTTAAACTTCCGAAGAGGTGGCACGGGGGGCTCCAGGGAGGGCGGTGGGAAGCAGTGGGGACTCAGTGCAGAGGCCATCTCCTGGCCGTGCCAAGTCCTGCTTATTGGAGGGAGACGGTCCCAGCATCCAAAGGGAGGCCAACTCCTTGGCTAGGGCTGGAGGCCCTTGCAGAGTTGTGTCTGAATGCTGGGAGTGTCCTTCCTTCAGCAGCCGCTCCCGGAATCCTCCTTGATCCCTGCTGTCCTCTGGGGTAGTCTCAGAGGAGTCTTCAAAATTACCCGTGTGGTCTGAAAATTGGGTCCTTGGGAAAGCTTGCTCCATGTTTTAAGGAAAGCTGTTCAGCCTCACGTGAACAGTTATTATGCATTGTCTGGGCCGGGATGGTGATGGCAAACTGGGCGCCCGGGCACCTGTGGCTGGGTTTTTGGTGTCTCCTTCCCCTGCCCGGGAACAAGCAGCAGTGGTTGCACTGAGCTCTCCAGCACCAGGTGGGGGTGGGGTGGATTGAACTCATCCAAGTAGCCAAGAGCATTAGGCTTGGAGGGATGAGTCAGATGGACCAGCACATGTGACCCTTCCCTGCTCCCCAGGCCACGGGTGAATAGTGACCGTCTAATCTCTAGGGACCCAGTCCATATCTCGCTAAATGCCAGCATGGTGACTCAGGGCTAGGGCCCCGCTCACCTGGGGCACACCCACACCGGGAAGATCAGTCCTGGACAGCAGCTCGGGCTGCTGGCAGCCGCCCCGTGGAAAAGGGCTCACAGCTAAAACCCCTTTTGTCCCAGAAAGAATGAGGCTGGCAGTCAGGCAGGGGTTACATGCAGGGTGGCAGCATTTGAAGTCTGGGGCAGATTCGGGCCGCTCTGCCTGCCAGACTAGATGGGCTGCTGCCTCATGCATCCTGTTGCTGAGGCAGAACAGGCAACTGGGAAGGGGGGGGAGGGGGTCAGGTGTTGGTGTCGCTTTTGGCTATAGTCTAGCACACCGCCTGCCCTCTCCCTCGGGCCCTTTCTTTGCAGAGCCTGGCTGCAGCTGGGTTATCCTTGAAGGCCTGTGGGCCCTGACTGGTTTGGTTTAGTGAATGGAATCTCCTGAACCACAGTCCGTCCCTTTGTCGGCGGGGTCCTGGCACCTGTAGTTTTTGAAGACAAGTCGGGGAACCCTGGGTGGAAGGGTCTGTGTTCCTGTGGGTGAACGGAGACCACATTCACGTAACTTGTATTACAGTCCATTGTTAGAATTGTTAGTCTCTGACTGTGCCTACTTTGTAAATTACACTGTCACAGGCACGTCTGTCCAGGAAGAAACTATTTCGATAGTGTATCTGGGGTTTGGTACCCTCCGTGGTTTCAGACATCCGCCCGGGGTCTTGAACCGTCTCCCCCTCAGATAAGGGGGTGGGGGGGCTACAGGATATGCTGCCGCGATGAAGAATGCAAGTATCCAGCTTTTTGAGCCTCTTCCCAAATAAGGCTTTTGCTTGATTGTGGGAACTTGACAAGGTGTACTAACGTGTGCCTTCCTTCAGTCGCCTGATGTGGAAGGGACCC